TTCCACACTGTCCACCCAAAAGACAGGGTGTAGCATGTGGAAGGTTGGAGCTAGGGAAGAGAGCATCTTTAAAACAGGACTGCAAAAGAAAGGGCTGATCCAGGACATCCAGTTACGCACACGGGTTCCCTCTTGGCATTCCTGAGCCTTAGTTAAAACCTCACTCACACTGTCCAGTCCTGTCTCATCTGTGGCTGGGCGCCAAGGCACAGGTTACATCATGAATGGTTCAGCTTAGAGAACAGCCTGAGTAAACCTGGGAAGAGGGCGCAGCTAAGCGAGGTGCAGAGGCTTCATTTCATTGGAGTGGTTCACTGTCTGTGCTGAAGCACACAGCGTGGACTTCCACAGGACTCAGGCCTGTACAGAACTCCTGCAGTTAGAACACTAACTGCCTACGAATCACTTGAGATGCCAGATGGAGCTGGCACCATCTCAGACACGGTGAACCGTGTTTGTGGAAGGTGGCAGGAATGGACTTCGTTGATTTAAGACAGTCTCATTCTGCAGCCCAAGCTGCCCTTGACCTCATGGTAATCCTTCTGCCTCAGCCTCCGAAGTGCTATGATCACAGATGTGGGCTACCATGTTTGGCCAGGTATTGGCCCTTTGGGAAGGACTCCCAAATGACCCTCTGTCAGAATGTCTTTCCTAATCATGTAGTGTTACGTTTCTTTTTACTCTCACCAATGAAAAAGGCTGTCTTCTAGAGGCTATCAAGTGAGTGATACTACAACATAGTGAATACAGGAACAGGTGAGACTCATTTATATTCATTGTCAGACAAACTTTTGGGAAAAACACATCACCTTTCTCAAGAAATCTTTTCATGCTTTGGAAATTATTATTTATCTAAATCTTTAAAAAAATTAACGTATGTATATGTGTTTTTCCTGCCATGTATCACTTGAGTGCAGTACCCACAGAGGTCAGAAGAGGGAGCTGGATGCCTAGAATCAGGAGTTACAGGTGATTGTGAGTTGCCGTGTGGGTGCTGGGAATTGAACCTGGGTCCACAGCAAAAGCAGCCAGTGGTCTTAACTGCTGAGCCATCCCTCCAGGATTGAAAGTTGTTACTGTAGAGACAGGACTTTTCTATGTTCCTTAGGCTGATCTGAATTCCTGGGCTCAAGTGACCCTCCCCTCTCAGTTTGGTGTGAGGGTGTGAGCGAAAGCTACAGGGCACGCACCACTGTGGGCAGCTTGGAAGTTATTATTTTTAAAGGAATAAATATTTGAAAGCTTTGAGGTTTCCCCCACACACCCCACAGGGTTTCTCTATATAGCCCTGGCTGTCCTGGAACTCACTATGTAGACCAGGCTGGCCTTGAACTCAGATCTGCCAGTGTCTGCCTCCAGAATGCTGGGACTAAAGGTATGCACCATCACCTGGTCAAACTTTTGAGTTTTTAATACTATTATACATATAACTCACATAAAAGGTTTATAGCATACATCCAGCACCCTATGGATACTGTTGCTGGTATGGGCCACTTAATCCTTGCTACAATGTATACTTCACTTTTGTTTTTATTAATTTTTATTTATATTTTAATTACTTAAAGTTTAATTCAATAGACCATTTGCAAAATAGTTCACTCACATAAAAGGTTTATAGCATACATCCAGCACCCTATGGATACTGTTGCTGGTATGGGTCACTTAATCCTTGCTATAATATATACCTCACTTTTGTTTTTATTAATTTTTATTTATATTTTAATTACTTAAAGTTTAATTCAATAGATCATATGCAAAATAGTTCATTTAACTTATTTCCAAACACAGGGATTTAATCTGAAAATTGAAACATAATTTGTTTTCAGTTAAAAGTATAATATACTAAGCATGTTTTCCTAGAATGTCTACACAGGTTTACTGTGATATGAAGTAGAAAATGTGTACTTTTTGTGAATTTAAGAAACATTCACAAATATGTAATATGATAAAGTAGATTTTGGTTGAGTGGTGCAAATGAAAGGCTAACTACAAATGTTAGCTAAAATTAAATTCCTAGTTTTTGGGGAGAAAGTAGGAAGAGAATCAACTGTGGTTCTTGGAGAATTTTTGTGAGTGCTTTTACATTTCATATTTAAAGTTTTTTTTTTAATTTGATGGAGATTGATTGAATCTGGGGTCTCATATATGCTTGGTAAATACTCTACCACTGAACCCATCTATCTCAGTCCATAAAATTACATATAGAAGGTATAGAAAAGTGTGTAGGCACATTAATACTAACATTGTACTAAGCTACACAATTTTATTCCTAAAAGATTATACATCTTAGATACTCTTGCTAAATTAATACTTGAATATCTCTTGTCATCATAGAGTGAAAACTGAGAAGCTGTGAGGGTTAGGTATAGGCAATACAATAATAACATTGATGCTTTTAACATGTCATGTACAATATTTAATGTATTGCTATTTAAAAACTGAGAAAGCTAACATTTATATTAATATTTGCTATTTGGAAATAATGTTTCAATGCTAATACTCTGCTAATTTAGACCACATGAAGATTAATTATATAGCTATTTAATATATCATGTTGGTTAACTAGTATTTGAAGATACACATTGTTTTCTGAGTGGCCTTTGAGAAAAGTGCATTAACTGTGGTTTCCAGCCATACATTACTCTCCTAACTTGTGATTATTTAAACATCCTCCTAAGGAATTAAGTAGCACTCAAACCACAAGCTCAGGCAAACTGACTTCTGTCTCCCACTTCTGCATGTCCACTTCCAACCATCATTTCTCTCAGTCTCTCAAAACTATCAGAGTTTTCTAAACGGCTCCGCAGTTTGCTGGAGTCTCTGAATGATTACAGCATTCTGTAAATCTGCTTCTTCCAATGTCAGTGTCTCATCCAGAAGTCTGAGAAAAGGAAGAGCCGTTGCCAGGGCAAAGGGGGGGCTTCTCTGAGATCCTTGGTATTTTTCAATGAAGTCTTTGATGTGGCTCACCCTATGAGAAACATTAAATCTTTGGACAGTCCTTTCCCCGTTGGCCAACCAGATCTGGATCCTGGTGATGGGCTCCAAGTTGTTCAGTGAAACAGCAGACAGAGCACTTTTATTTTCAACTTCGATACTCTTTGCTTTAGAAACGATTTTTGGTGTAGCACTTCCTAGTCTGTGACCCTGTCCTGAGAAGGGCTGGAACACGGGCTTTGTAGACATACATACTTCATTTTTTTTATCTTCCACTTTAACATCCACCTCTTCTTTATCAAAAATTCCCCGCAATTCTGAAGGCAATTCCCCCTTTTTGATGGAGTTCAGAAACTGCTGACTTGCACCATCAGAGTAACTTCTAAAGTCATCATTGACTGTGAATCCATTTTCCCACAATTTTATATTTACATCTACCTGTTTCTTCTGTTCAGTGGGGGACAAGCATTTGGCGCCAACCTTCTCTGCTTCCTCAAAAAGGCTGTCAACGAAATAGTCACAGTTCCTTTGCTGATTATCATTGAGGGGCTGATTGTCAGGAGGTCCTGTTTCACAAACCCAGTCTTCTTTTACACTATCAAGATTATCTACTTCTTTCATTCTCTTTCTGCTACTTGGGGGCGCGGTCCCGCGGCCTAGTCCTCGGCTCCCTGAGGGTCCGCAAGCGTCGCCGCCACCGCTAAATATCATTTTTTAACTAAAAGTTAGTGGAGTTTTTCATCTTTCAGTGGGAAAATTCTGAGAATCTTGTATACTGTCTTCTATAAGGCCACTCAGACACTGCCTCCTTGTGCTTCTCAGGGGACCCTGCTGTCATATTTTTATCTTTCTCTGGTATATTTTCTTTACTGTTCATCTTAGGCTTCCTGGATTGGACCCTAAGCACACTACCTTCAGAACATCCCTAATCTCCAGGTTTTCCATTTAAAGAACTCAAACTAACTCTACTTAAAAAACAACTCAGACAGTAGAGTTCTAATTAGGCCATGCAGTAGTCACATGGCAACATAAACCATTTCTGCTGATTGTTCATGGGGTACTGATGACACTGGAATGTCAGAGCACCATAACAACTCAGTCTCCCTCATTGGTATATTTTATTGTAGTGAATGGTGAGGAAAACCACTAAAGTATGTGATAACTCTTACACTTTAATACAATATGAGGATAATAGTAATTATATGGATTGTGGGTATACCTAATTTTTGCATCTCCCTAATTTTACATCTTTAAAGAAAAAAACAGCAGGCTCAAATTAACAACTATCATTCAGAATATACTTTTAAAACAGAGTAAGTTGTAGAAAAGACTGAATTAGAAATTTAAAACTAAATTTTAAAAATCTAAGAGATGGCCTATGCCATCTAGGAGGTCTCTTATGAAAAGTCCACAGCTTTGATAATATAAGGTTGATGTCCTGAGCTCCAAAATAGGGACTTTTGGATATATCCATTATAACTTTGAATCCTCCCACCCTCTAAAACCTCATGAACGTCTGAGTAGGCAAATATGTTTCTCTCATTATTGATAAAGGTAAGGAGCCATCCACTATTGAATACCATGGCAGACTCTGGTAACATCTCCATAGTCACTACAATGTCACTAATGTGTTAGTAACTCAATATACCTCACATAATAATTGTCTGTATCTGTAGAACTCTTTCAGATGATTCTGAAATGAAATAGAGGTAGGCATTTTAGAAGAATTTATTGATCACAATAAAAAATAACAGTTGAATAATTTTTTTTTTTGGTTTTTCAAGAAAGGGTTTCTCTGTGTAGCTTTGCGCCTTTCCTGGAACTCACTTGGTAGCCCAGGCTGGCCTCGAACTCACAGAGATCCACCTGCCTCTGCCTCCTGAGTGCTGGGATTAAAGGCGTGCGCCACCACCGCCCAGCTGAATAATTTTTTTTTTTAACAGCCCAAAAGATAATCTTTTCATAAAAGGGGTCAGGAAACCTCCATAGAGTGGGTATCTGAAGAGCTGGAAGTTTGAAGGTGGTTCTCTGAAGGTTGTATTTAAACAGAAACGTTGACACGGTTATGTTTTATAGTATCAGTGAATATTTATTTCAAATCTATTGTCTCAAAATTAGCCATGGAAGAAAATTAAAAACACCAGAGCATTACAGTATATTTTCCTGCTTTTTCCAGGCTCATATTAACTATCTTGCTTTTTTTTCTTCACATTTCTATTTATTGGAACTCCATCTCATTGACATTCTGTAGAAATCATGTTTAGTTACTACACTGATGATGTCATTCTAAATATACATGGAGGAAAACAGTTCTAATGTATGACACACAGTGGAATAAAAATCATAAAAAGTTAAATTTGGCTTTTGGCTTGTCTGCCTTGATGCTCTTTTGGAGAGCACATTTTCTCTAATGCTGCTACATCTATTTTCCGCCTCTTACTGACATCAAAACACAGCTTCTTTGGATTTTCAGTGTGGACTGACTACCAGTGGTTCTCCAAGAACCCTTCAGGCCTTCAGTGTTAGACTGGGACTATAGAAATATCCAGCCATGTGGATTGATCAGCTACTAGGTCTTCAAGCTCTCCATTCATTGTTTGACTTTCTGGGTCACATCTTAGAGCTTGGTACAAATATACAATTTCTAATGTTTGTTTTCCTACTAGACTTTGAAGTCAATGAGAGAAGAAATCAGGACAGTCTCTTGGAATATGGTATACTCATGTACAGCACATTGCTCATATCACTGCAGTAAAATTGAGAAGATATTTGTAAAATTAACAAATTCTCTTGAGAAAAATTCAAATGTAGCTTCTAACACCACTTAGTAAATTGATAACAAAGGACTCTATTAACCAAAGAACTAAGGAGAAGACCTGGGAGAAGGACAAAGGTATAATCTAAGTGCCAGAATCTTCACAGATAATGCATCAGTGTTGCCCTAAAGGAGAAATAAAAGCACTTCCCCTTGGAGTTATTTAACAAAGACTGAACCCAGATTTGAGTTCTCTACTTCATGCAAACAGTGTCTTCCCTCTGTGTGTGTATTTCTCTCTGACAAAGGGCTTTGCTCTATATATATTGAACAGCATAGAAAGCACCACATGGGGGAAGGGGTGGGATACTTTACAGAAATCTTTAGCAGAGGTTTACAAGGTATTAAGTTGTTGGCTCCAACTGATCCCAACTGACCCAGGTAACAAACATCATTGTTTATCAACCAATAACTATGATTGGTTACTTTCAACCTTTCTGGTAGATTTTTGAAGTTGCTTTCAACTTCTGCATTTGTTTCTCTCAGCAAATGATATGAATCACTCTGGGTCCGGGACATGAAAGTGTGTATAACTTAAGACTGCAGCTATGCATTAGCTGAGGTTGTAAAAGTTGATTGTGTGGAGAATTTAAGGCAAGAAAGATTGGCTCTTGCATTCTTCTCTCAAAGGCAGGTGAAACAAACAGTTTGAGTACACTAGGGTAGCAGTCTTAAGTAGCCTCACGGTGTATTACAAACTTTGGCTCTCAGGTCCAGCAAAAGTTTCATTCTCCTAGAGTGGAAGAAATATTTTCAGAATATTGTTATCACCACAAACATCAATCATGAATTTGTGGATAGCAAGGGAGAGATTTCCACAAAGACATGATGATGTCCAATAACAATGGAGATAAATCAGGTAAAAAAAAGTAACATTCAGGGTGTCAGGCAAGGTAGAAATAATTACAGCATAGTTTAACAAGCCTTCAGTGGCAACAACCAGGGCTGATGAAAAGGAACTACAGTCCTGGCCAGTAGTCTGTCAACTCTCTGGAAACAAATTACATGGACAACCTGCAAGATTATTTAAATGAAAGATATTAAACATTTTAAAAGAGATAATCTGAAGGATCTAGGAAAATATTATTACATTAAACATCAAAATCATTCTCTCAGTCTTCCCATCTAGGCCTTCGACTTAGAGCTTATCCACTGGCACTAAGTTCTTATGAGAAAATACCCTGAAAACCAATTATCTCTTTAGAACTTCTACTAGTGAAATGCATACATCTTTCAGGTAGCACATACTAAATCTGAATTTATAAAGCTTGGTATACCACCAATCCTCTATTTGAGTGCAGGAATGTTTGCCTGCCATTAAAGAAATTCTTAGATTATATTTGGTTAACCTAATATCAAACAATACAAACTCACATGATGGCCATATTTCCTCCTCTTTCCCTCCCTTCTTCTCTCCCTCCCTCCTTTCCTTCCTTCCCTGGCAACAGTTTTCCCTCTCTCTTCTCCTCCCCTTCTGCTCTTTATCTCCTGTCCCTCCCCCCAATCCACTCCTTGCTGTGGGATGGTCTGTATGTCAAATGCTCTGATTGGTCAATAAATAAAACACTGATTGGCCAGTGGCCAGACAGGAAGTAGAGGCAGGACTAACATAGAGAAGAACTGAGAGAACAGGAAGGTGGGAGGAGACACTGCCAGCCACCGCCATTGACAAGCCACATGTGAAGATGCAGGTAAGCCACGAGCCATATGGCAAGGTATAGATTTATGGAAATGGATTAATTTAAGATATAAGAACAGTTAGCAAGAAGCCTGCCACGGCCATACAGTTGGTAAGCAATATAAGTCTCTGTGTTTACTTGGTTGGGTCTGAGCGGCTGTGGGACTGGCGGGTGACAGAGATTTGTCCTGACTGTGGGCAAGGCAGGAAAACTCTAGTTACAACTCCTCCTCCATTTCTGTTCAGGAAAGGGCAGGCCTCCCATGGATATCATCAAAATATGGCATATCAAGCTGCAGTAAGATTAAGCACCTTATCATTCTGGGCAAGAAAACCCAGTATGAGGAGTAGGGTTCCCAAAGCCAGCAAAAGTCAGAGACAGGGCCTGCTCCCTCACTTTAACATACATACAGAGCACTTGGGTCAGTCTTGTGCAGGCTCCCTGGTTGCCAGTCAGTCTCTGTGGGCCCCTATGAGTCCAGGTTAGTTGATTCTGTGAGTTTTCTTGTGGTGTCCTTGACCCCTTTGGCTCCTACAATTCTTTCTCTCCGATAATCTGCAGAACTCCCAGAGCTCTGCCTAATATTTAGCCGTGGGTCTGCATCTGTTTTTATCATTTGGTAGATGGAAACCTGTCTGATGACAATTGGACTAAGCACCAATCTATGTGTATAGCAGAACATCTTTAGGTGTCATTACATTAACATTTTTCTCTCCAGTTGTGTTTAGTTCTATCTTAGGTCTCTGGGTCATCCAGCCTGTGGGTCCTGGTGCTCTAAGCAGTTTCACGGGTGGGATTACTCTCCTGGTATGGGTTTTAGGGTAGACCAGTCATTGCTTGGTCATTCCCTCGATCTCTACACCATCCTTACCCCAGCACATCCCATAGGCAGGACAGACTGTAGGTCAAAGGTTATGTGGCTGGGTTGGTTTCCTGTGCCTGGCCACAGGAGACAGGGTGACCATATTTCTATTATTAGAATGTATCCTCCATCTGTCTATCGTCTATCTCTCTCACTTGTCTGTATATCATCTACCCATCCAGCAACAAACACCTATTTATCATCCATGTTTATATGCATCTGTCTATCATCTATTTATCTAGCTATCTATCCAATCCATAATGACTGTGGCTAAATCTCTTACTTTTCTCTCATCCATAGAGTAAGAGCTACTATAGCGTGGCAGGCATAACTGAAGCC